AGCAAATCCAGTACAATCACCAGACAATGCAAAATAGACACTATGTTTTTAATATTTTGTTTTAATCACTTAGGCCTACTATATACAATATCAAGAAAATATCTAGTAGTAAATATTGGGTAGTCCACGTATAATAATACAAACTGTCACTGATATGTATGTCAACAAATCCTCCTTGACAAGATGAATTGTTCGATTACTTAGGAACGTTATAGCGACTTGTACATCGAGACAACAAAAGTATATCACATTACGTTTGATTAGAAATAGGCCTAGAAATCTTTCAACATGTCTAATGCAAGTTTTCAAAAGCATGATTCTGCAATTACATTTTATTACTGGTGAATTATTTATGAAGCAAACAACAAAATTAAAAGCTTACCTTAAATGCACAGTCTACAACATTTCAATTTACATGAAATGAAATCTCGGTTTTACTCATACTGACAGCTCACAATAGCACAACGTAAAGACCCAATTTTGTCATCTTACTAGACAGAAAGGTGTCGTGCTTAGAAATACACGCACACACTGCACGGTTCATCGTCTATACATAAGTAAGTCAACTTCTACATTTTGGACTAACTCAATAGAAAATTGCCTAATAGAATAGGCACGGATAAAGGGTTTTGGTACAGTGATTTAATATTGATAAAAGAAGAAAACAATGTCAGTAAGATCAGAGGCAGAGAGCTGAATCCGACGATCTAACCACACTCTGCTACACAAGTAAATAAAATGGAGCAATAATGTGCTCACCTTCTAATACCACTGTCATGGGTTCAAATCGTACTCGTTTCAGAATGTTGTCATCAGACTGAAAATAATCTAGGTTCGGTACTATGTTGTAAGTACCTTTGAAGACATAATAATTCTCACAAATCTTATAATAATAGTAATAAAAATAATAATAACGATGATACTAAAATGGTAATAATATACAAGGAACAAATGTCTCATTAAGATGTTTTGTTTCAGAGGAGATTTAATGGACGAATATTTAATTACTGAATGAGGTTACCCGAAAGCAAATATAATCATAGAAAATCATCGCTGACATAATTGATCTTACGAGATCAATTTTGAAATTAAATTCTAATCAATGCTTATTTTAGTTCAGAGTGTGCCCCATATTGTGTATTTAGAATGTTCTATAAATACGAAAATAGGCCTTTATCCTGCGGTATGAAACCTGCCCTGTCAGCGAGTGCTCGTATAGTTTACCGCCCAAAGCAATGTTTCATACAAATGATGTTTCATACAAATGATAAACATTTTCGTTGATACGATCTTAACATATTTTGTTAGCACAGTTTCTATTATTTAGCTAGTTGTCATGATTTTAGCTATGTAAGCTGTAAAAATTGGACTTATCATGTATATTTAACAACATTTCCGCCGCAAATTTCCAGGTTTCTCTCACTTAGCTTCTCCAGTTTTATTATGTGAGAGTGATATTGGCGGGATTGACTCCATGAAAGCAGAGGAAACTCGCTTTGAGAGCGAGAAACGTTAGGTTGAATTCTCACTGAAAGAAATTATTTATACAACTGATTAGAAACTTCGATTTATACTCCTGAATTTTAGCAGTATGTACTTGTAAATATGCTGTACTCTTGACCGTATACAGTTACAAGGATATGGAATTCGTGCAATTCATAATCGAAAATCCTATTTCTGATCCTATAGATCAACTCTAAAATTAATTGCCAAACGAAGCTAATTTCATTGAGCGCCTCATACATATTCTCAATCTCTTTAAGTCACGAATGACTATTGTAAAATGCCTAGATTACAGATACATTTATTTAGATAACTTAATTACAATACAATGTACAACAACGCTGTGATCTACGGTTGCTGGATTCATGATTAACAAAAGCTAAAATATAAATATAAAATAACAGCCAGAATCCAGAAATAACACTCTCTCTCCATAATATTATTATAAACAGTGCTCAAAATTGAAAAAAATATGGTGTTATACCATAAGAAGCAATGTTCCTTTTTGAGCACTGTTGGGGTGTGGTTATTATGACCAAGTGAGGGGATTTAAGGGCAAACACTCTACACCAGATATTTAAAAAACGGGTCAACTGATCTGAATGAAACTTTTGGGAAAGTGTAGCCAAGTTATAAGATGAAATTACTGTGTGCTGGTGACGATCCAGTTTAAGGTGTAAATTTGAGGGTAATTTAAATGTCTAACGTCCCAGACCTATAAATATCTCAAAAACCTAATTAATGGGTCTAAATGAAACGTTCTAAAATAGTTTGTGATCGTTCAATAAAGAAACGATTGAATGTTGGTGACGATATGAAGCTAGGGGCGGATATGTGGACCACTCAAAGAAAAATTCATGTGTTTTTTTTTTTTTTTTTTTTTTTTTTTTTATTAGACTATTTGTGTTATATTGTAAATACATAACTTTTGAAGAAATACTAATTCTCACAAAAAGCTTATAACAATAGTAATAAAAATAATAATAATAATGATACTAAAATGGTAACAATAATATAATATACAAGGAACAGAAGTCTCATTAAGAAGTGTTTTTTCATGAAGGTCTTGATGGACGAATGAGGTTACCCGAAAGCAAATATAATCATAGGAAATCTTCGCTGATTTTAACTGATCTAAAGAGATCAATTCTGAAATAAAATTTCTAATGAATTCTTATCTTAGTTCAGAGTGTGTCACATATTTTGTATTTAAATCTTCGACTCTAAAATCGATTAAATAAGCATCTGAAACCTTAAAATTGTCAACATTTCCAGGACCACTCGGAACCTTTTAATCGAAGCTCGACCACGCCAACTTTGCTTTCGTTGGGGAAATCTGACCCCTCGTCGGGGCATCCCCCCCCCCTCCGTCGAGAGCACCCCCTCCCGTCGGAAGTTTTCATATAAATGATGTTTCTTACAAATGATACATTTTCCAGTTGAAAGTCTATGCTTGATACGATCTTACATATTTTTGGCACAGCTTCTATCATTTAGCTATAGTTGTTTGTAGCTATGTTGGCTTTAAAGTACAACAACTTTGATTTATCATGTATATTTAATAACATTTCCGCTACAGCTTTCCAGGATTCTCGCTGCTACTCCAGTTCTATTATGTGAGAGCATACCAGGTGTGATACTGGCTGGATTGACTCCCTGATACTCTTTAATTTCAGATATATGTACTTATATTATACTACTCTTGACCGTGAACAGTTATAAGAATAGAGAATTCGTGCGTTTCATAATACAAAAATCCTATCTTCTGGGCCTAACTGTAGATCAACTCTAAAATTTAATGCCAAACGAAACTTATTTCATTGAGCACCTCACACATATTTTAGTCTCTTTAAGTTGTGATTGGCTATAATAAAATACGTAGATTACAGACATATGTATTTAGATTTCGGTTAGATACAAACTTGATAATCAAAAGCTAAAACATAAATGTAAAATAACAACCAGATACCAGAAGTATAACTCCCTCTCTATAATGTATAACAGTGCTCAAAATAGTAACATATTGGGTCACAATCGCAAGAAACAATGTTCCTATTTGAGTACTGTTATATATCTACGGTACTTCTTCATGTTGTTTTTAACGGCACTACACATTATTACATATTTTGTTTACGTGGTAAAGGATAGGAAACACAAAGGCATGTTGTTCAGAAGTAAATTTATTGAAATCTGAGCTGAACAATAAATTAAGCCACGTAAAAAATAAAAAAAATAATCATTCATACACTATTCACAACAGAAAAAAGTATTCCTGATGATGACATAATTAATGTCGAAATATTGAATCCCAACACGATGGCGTGTATTTCAATACTTGGAGTATGTATTATACTTTCTTATCTGAGATTAATCAGTGGACCTTTCGGAAAAAAGTATTGGATCAAGGAATTGACGAAACGAAAAATCCCAGTAAAACGCTTAAATTCGTGGCTGAAAACCTGACTCCACGCCGTCGGTCCCAGTAAAACGCTTACATTCTTGGCTGAAAACCAGACTCCACGCCCTCAGTATTTACTTTCCCTTCTCGTCACCTCAGAGGTACGCTCCTTGCATAAACACATTAGCATACAAGGTACAGGTGAATTTGAAAGAAATGGTAATTCCTCCGACATGCAATAATGCAAGATAGCGAGACTGCAGTTTATGGTTAGGATGAAGCCACCACCAATCAGCAACTCGAATTTGCTTAAATCATCAGAACAATTTGAAATGGTGATTTGTACCAAGTAAATATTGTATACCATAACACTCATTTTGTGATGAATAATAGACGCGCACTAAAAGCCTAATATTAAGAAAAGGTTAAACAATTTGATTTTTTTTTTCAATTGAAAAAAAAAATTGCAATTTTCTTGATGTTGAAAAGTAGAAAATATGTGAAAGAAAAGAAGAATTATTGATTACATGTTACGTGATAGAGTGATGTTCAGTGCACTAAACGGCTTGCCAATGTGTATAAAATTACAATTACAAACATGGAGCTAACATGTCAGCAAAGACATGTTGAGAATTACAGAAAGATATTTAGATAATTATGTAAGCATGTTATTAATAAATATGGTCCCAGTTATTACATTTTGAAATGGTGATTAACTTTGCCGGGCGTCCAGACTGGCGGGTTTATCCAGGCGAGCATTTGCATAATAATAAACGGTATAGGCCTAACCAGGAAACGTGTTTCAAAACATTGCTCGCGAAACGTACGCTCGCTCATAGCGTACGTAATTGAATGCTGATTGGCCATTTCGTCACCCGAAGTCAATACAAGACCCCCCGCAACGATTAAAGCCCGGCTTAGAAAAGTTAAACACGGTGGCGCACCAGGCCTAGTTACTATAGGAACACAGCCCGGCTTCAGATAAGCCACTTAGTTCAGACTGGCAGGTGGATAAACCCAGTGAGTTGAGCCGGGTTTATTATCGAAAAAAGTTTCAATAATTTAATCCAAACTCTGTTTTCATTAACGATTTTAATAATTGAGACAACAATTGTAAGGTTGGAAAACAGCAAACCAGGACTATGCATAACATCACTTTTACACTTACCATTTTTTTCCTCTTTTGTTGGGTCGTCCCACTTTCATTTCTTTGAACATAAATATTGTTTTATTACTATTGACATATTTATCATTTATTCTAAATTAGTACTATTATTATATTTTCTTCATGTCTGCCACCTGCAGGATTAAACAATCCTTTATAAACCAAGTCTATCATTATGGTCTAGGCAGTGGAGTTGAGTTTAGTTGTAGAAAAAAAAAACCCTATGAGAGGAGTTAATACCACAATTCTGGAATTAGAAGCAAGCCTCTTACCTAACAATCTATCAACTCTACTTCACATTAAAAAAACAACAACAATCTAATATTAATTCATATAATGACTACAATTATATATCTAAGATATACAATCAATGGATTAAACAAAACCCTCCATACACCTGTCAATGCAACGATGTATAATCAAACCTTCTTCAAAATATTGAGAAAAAAAAGTATTAATTTTTAA